GGGCACGACGCTGAGGCGCGGATGGCGGCGAGGGACTTTGGCCGCCTCTACAGAGCCACACTGGCGGTCATCAGGCGGCAGCTGCTCCTCACCTGTGCGCGCCACCCACTCGCCGCTCTCCATTGCCCCCCCCCCATGCGAACGACGACATATATTACGCTCCCGTGGTGGGCGGCTGGTGGGCAGCAGCTCCTCCTCCTCCTCCTCCTCCTCCTTACCCATAGTATGCCCTCCTCCTCCTCCTCCTCCTCCTCCAATGTACACAGGCTCGACGGAGGCCTTCTCGTACCTGGGGTCCATCCTCAACTTTGCCCTCCTCGCCCTCCCCGTGTTTGCTGGTACGTACACATATATCCCTTCTTCTTCTTCTTGCACCACCCAACCACCCATGCAGGCGTGTGGGCCATTGGAGGGGAGGGGGGGAATGGACGGTGACGATGGTGCGTCGGTCGTGCGCGGACGGTGGTGGTGGTGGTGGGCTCCATATCAGGCTCGTATGCGGACCTGACGGCCCCCCAGCTGGCGGCCAAGATCAGCGAGTCGTCGTTCGTCACCCTCTACCTCATCTTCGCCTTCACCAGCGTCATTCAGGTACCTCCTCCCCTACCCCATTGATCCTTTATATATATATATGATGATGATGATGATGATTTTGATAGGCCAGTGATGCTCCATGGGGAATAACTTTAAATATAAATATACATATATATATATATATTCGATTCGGGGAGAGGCCACTATGCCAAAACTCGCACGCGCCTCTACCTTCCTTTAGCCCCCCCCCCTTGGCGTGATCCGATGTCTGACCTGAGCGTGTGTTGCGCCGCCGCCGCCGCCGCCTCCTGCCTGGCTGCCTGGCCAGCTGTTCACGCTGCTCTCCAACCTGGTGGGCTACTACGCCCGCGTGCACGACCTCCTCGCCGAGATGGAGCACCTCCACGCCCTCCAGCGGTACGGCACCGCCGTTTTACTATTGTCCCCCCCCCCACCCCACCCCCACCCCACCCCACCCCCACCCCACAATACAAATCATGCCTTGCCACGTCTTCGTCGTCTTCGTCGTCGACGACGACGACGTGCTCGTGCCTGCGCGCCGTCCGCCACGTGGTCTGCTGGCCTGGCATTCATGCGTGTGCGTGATATGGCCGCCGCCGCCGCCGCCGCCGCCGCCAACCGGCCTTGGATGGGTGGGTGGATGGGTGTACGCAGGGAGCGCCGCAAGCTGCGCCAAGTTGTGCCGGTGGAGGAGGGCGGCCTTGCCGTGCGCTTCGAGGACGTCTCCTACTCGACGCCCACGTCCCCGCCCATACCCCTCGTACACGGTACACGCCCCTGCCCACCTGCGGACCTGCGTGCGGTTCCCCCCACCCCACCCACCCCCCACCCACCACTCATATTGGACGTGTGCCGCGTGGGCGGATCCTCGTCACCATCGTCGTGGTGGCCGTGGTCGTCGTGGTCGT